CATTCGAAATTGCTTACGGGAAAGTATATTTCTCGCTCGAGTGACCTTGTTATATTAGTCCGTAAATTAGGGTTTCAGATCACTTTTTGCCGGCCCCCTCTCTCTCTAAAACTCTCCAAATTTTCAAGTCTAGAGCTTCTCTCTCTAGAAGTCATCTTCTCTCTTTGATTTCTCCAAATCCATTGGGATTTAGGCCTAAGTTCTTCACCAAAGTTGGTTATCACCTCGAGGGCTTCATTGTGTGTAGTGGAAATCGAGTTTCGACACCGTAGATTTTGGGGTTTCATCTCAGATTCTCTTCAAAACTTGAGGTAGGGATTTTCTACACTCTAATATGGTTTTAGCTTAGTTATTTGCTATTATATATAGATGATGAGATTTGGTTGTGGTTTGGACAAATCTAGGATTTGGGTGTGAAATGAAAAGAGGGGTTTTGATGAATATGAGGTAAACGAGTATGAGGCTTGAATATAAGATCATGCTGTGCCAAAATAGTTGATTCTGGTGTTTGGGTTGATATTTGGTGAAAGGGGGATTCTGCCCTAATTTTGATTAAATTGTTATTTTGCATAAATAATTGGGATTAATGTTGAAAATGTGAAATTGGAAGGTTATGATTATAAATGGTGATATTGGATATGTATTATCTCACCTATGGAAGTTTTGAATAAACTATTTATTTTGATATTGAACATCTCATTAGAAATAATTACATTGGGCTATCGGTGGAGGATAGCTATGATTGTTGTAGAAATTACATGAAGATTTGGTGATTTAATGCTAATCCATCGTTCGTGTCATTGAATATGACCATGTTATAGATACATTGTACAAGTATGTTTATTGGGAGGAGAAAGGGGGTGTACTCCATATGTGATTTTGTTTATAAATACATTACATATGTATATTTGTTTGGGAGGAGAAAGGAGATGGACTCCATTTAAAGCAAGTTGGCCGGAGTGTCCTGGGTGAAAGACCCGAAATTTTATATATAAATGGGTGCTGATTCCTTCGGACAAAATATCCGTAAAATGACAGGTTTGAAGTGTTATGTGAGTTTTGTATAATTAGAAAATCATTGAGTTGCAGTCTCATTTTGATTGTTGAAAGATAACGAATTTAACTCATGAATTGAGTAGCATATATGAACTGGAAATGAAATTAAAGGAAAATGGATTAAGGTTGGTCTCAGTGGCGTATGGATATCCAGGTCTTGTGGATGTGTCAGGATTGGTATTGTTTATGTACGTGGTATTTATATCTTTGCTAAACCTCATAAATTGTGTTAGATAATCTCCATTGGGCTGTTGGCTCACCCTATATGGAAATACCATTTTCAGGTACAGGTGAGATTCTTCCTCCAAGGCAAGAGCGTGGATGGAGTTTTGGAAAGCAAGAGCTTTTTAATTATGCCTTATGTGTGTATGTTTGTTATTTGTAAAGCCAAGGGCTTAAGATGTAATGAGTGAGACTCAATTTGTGTAACCAAGCAATGACTTGGAAACATGTAAGCCTACATGGCATTTAACTGGTTGTTAAACAGTGAACTCTGATATATGAAAATATGTTGTTTCTCATATTTATTTCGCATATGAGTTAGCTTTATTGTTTTATTTTGGGGTGTGACAATTTAATTTTTAACCCAATTTCTTATTTAATAAAATTTTAAATCAAACATAAAATTACCATAAATTAACCCATAAGATTAACCTAAACACCTTAATTTATTACCATAAAACTAAATCGTAAAATTATCTTAATCTGATTTTTAAGTTTAATAAAATTTTAAAATAAACATATATATATATATATAATTAAATCATAAATTAAACTAAACATCCTAATTTATTATCATAAAATTACCTTAGTTAATAACATTTTTAATTAAACATATAAATATATATATTTAACAAATTAAATCATAAAATTACCTTAATCTAGTTTTTAATTTTAAACCCGATTTCTTATTTAATAACCTTTTAAATCACACATTTACATATATACATGAATTAAATCATAAACTAACCTAAATAATCTAATTTATCATCATAAAATTACCTTAATCTACTATTTATTTTTTAACCAAATTTCTCATTTAATAACATTTTAAATTAAATTAATTTTTTTTATATAAAAGATCATAATTATGGTTATGGTTTGGTTAGTATTAATTTGGAGAATAAAATGAATATGGGGACGCTATTGACATTGGATTCAATTTTTTGATTTTGACTTAACACTCTTGCATTGCTCACTCTCAAATTGGGAGAGTGTGACGCGCCTTCCGTAATCTTTAAGGGAAAAACTAACCATAGCATTTTAGTTTAAAATCATATGAGATTTCTCTACTTATATTTGAATCATATTGGTAAATTACTCGAAGATGAAACTACAATGGGATAAAATGAATTTTACTCAAAAAAAAATAAAAAAAATAAAAAAAGTCAATGCGTGTGAGCATCATCACTGTTGGCCCTTCATTTTATTTCATTGATAATTCTACTCCATTAAATACTATATAGAGCTCTTCAATAATTCAAGAGTCGAGAAGACTAACTTTTTTTTGAACTTGAGTCATGGTTGAGCTTTCTTGTATCCTAGCTATCAGGATTTTGTGTGGATTAGTCTGCAATCTATCTGATGATGATTTTCCAACCCTTGTTGAAAAACTTGAATCTAAGCAAAAATCAAATTTCTAGTCTACCAAATTGGATCAAAGGTCTTACTAGTCTTCGGACACTTTGTTTAAAGGGAAAATTACAAAAATGGTCCCTATAGTTTACCCGTGTTTTTATTTTGGTCCATGCACTTTTAAATGTATCAATTTTGCCTCTGTAGTTTGATTTTTGGCTCGAAATAGATCAATAGTTAACAGTAGTTAGACATTTGAATGGAAATTTGACGCATGCAAGGCACCCATGGGCCAATTTTGACTTTCTTGAGTGTTTTTGAATCAATTCAATTTGTTCTCTAATATCATCACTCAAATTTAACTCATTTAATAGATGTTTTATTTAATTTTATTATTTAATTATTATTATTTTTTAAAATAAGTTTATTAAATTGTGTAAAAAATAAAATAAAATAAATTTTTATTTAATCTAGCTAAAAATAATTAAAATATTAAAGATATGTTTAATATTGCTATTCCTTAGTAAACAATTGAAAAATGGTAAAATAGTTTTTTGCACATTTATCCTTATCCAACTCATCCAACCAAACATTAGATTCACTAAAAATAGTCATTTACAAACATCTAATCCTATGAGAAAACAAACACGGGGATACACATCCAATCTAACCAAATAATCCGGGAGATTCACAATCCCAGGATTTAAGTCTGATGGATTCTAATCTCCCATTTTCTAATTATTTACTAAGAAATATCATGACGGTAAAATAGACATTTTATACATTAGTCCCATGGAATGCCAATCCCATGGAAATAATCTCACCCCCCAGGATTGTTTACTCCCTCATATGAGGGATATGGAGTCCCTCATATAAATTATAAATTATAAATTTTAATTTTAATTTATAAGGTCATAATTTTTAATTTATTATTTTTAATTAAATTAAATTTATAATTTATAATTTATATTTTTTATTAATATATAATTTTCAATTAACAACACTAAAAAAATAATTTATAAATGCCTATATTTTTTATTAATATATTTATAAATGCCTATTTTAATAATAAATTATTTTTTATTAATAATTTAGTGCGCCGGACATGGAGTCTGGCCAGATTCCATATCCCTCATATGAGGGACTAAACAATCCTAGGGGTGGGGTGAGATTATTTCCATTTGATTCATATCCCATGGGACTAATGTGTGAAATGTCTATTTTACCGTTATGCTATAACTTAGTAAACAATTAGAAAATTAGGGATTAGAATCCATCGGACTTGAATCCTAGGACTATGAATCCCTCAGACTATTTGATTGGATTGAATGTGTATCCCGTGTTTGTTTTCTTATGGGATTAGATGTCTAGAAATGACTATTTTTAGTGAATCCAATGTTTGGTTGAACGAACTGGATGAAGATAAATGTGCAAAAGACTATTTTTATCATTTTTCAATTGTTTACTAAGTAATAGCAATATTAAACATATCTTTAATATTTTAATTATTTTTAGCTACATTAAACAAAAATTTATTTTATTTTATTTTATTTTTTTGCACAATTAAATAAATTTATTTTTAAAAATTAAATAAACAAAATATCAATAAAAATATATGTTATTTTTTTAATTAAAATTTTAAATAAATTTATTTTAAAAAATAATAATAATTAAATAATAAAATTAAATAAAACATCTATTAAATGAGTTAAATTTGACTGATAATATTAGAGAACAAATTGAATTGATTCAAAATCACTCAAGAAAGTCACGGTGACATATCTCGCATGCATGTTCTCTCTCTAGAAATGTCAAATACTATATCCGACCTAATCTTCGATCATCGAGACTCACCAAACCTTGGAAAAATCAACGGAAGAGGTGGATCACCTGATCCGAAGCACAAAAAAGATCAAAAGTATGAATCAGCAAGCGGAAAAAGAGATGAAACAAGGAATGGCCATGGAAACTGAAGTCCTTACAGAGGTGGCCAACACGGAGGAGTACCTGTAGCACCTCCCCCTCCCAAATCTTTCAAGGAAGCCCTTACTACAGTGAAGAATAGCGACTATCTCTTTGATGCTAGAGTTGACACCCTGTCGTCTGATGAAGAAGGTGATGAACAGAGAGGCATTTCCACCATAGACACTGTCCTCTCCGAACACATGGGACTCCCAATGATTTCTTTGCCTAAAAAACTTCTGGAGAAAATTCGAAAACCTTAGGAGAATGCACTAATCATCAGGTTACTGGGAAAAAGCATAGGCTATAAGATGCTATGCACGAGAGTTACAAAAATTTAGGGTCTTCAAGGTGAGTTCAACGCAATTCACCTGGGCAGTAATTATTTCCTTTTTAAATTCTCTGAGATGGAAGATTATACCAGAGTGTACACAAGGAAACCATGGGTCATCATGGACCACTACCTAACGGTGAGGCAATGGGAACCAAATTTCAAACCATCGGAAGCACTTGAAACCACAACCGCACTCTGGGTCCGGTTTCCAGAGCTTCCGATCGAGTACTACCAAGATAAAGTCTTATATGCCATTGCAAAATCAATTGGTAAGCCTCTCAAAATCGACTGGACAATAGCTATGGCAACCAGGGGGAAATTTTCCTGGATTTGTGTCGAGATGGACCTCACCAAACCTCTAAAACCTAAGTTTATTTTGGAAGGTCGGTACTACAATATAGAATATGAATCTTTACACTCATTTTGCTTCCTTTGTAAGAGACTTGACCACCGTAAGGAAGCATATCGATTCAAGGAACCACCTAGTCCACTATCGGCAAAGAATCTAGACGTTTCCAGTGAGCAAACTCTGCCCACTGGTACCGCTAAATCCAATGGTAACCTGTAACATAGACAGACTGAGGAAGAGGCCTTTGGGCCCTGGATGCTAGCAACCAAAAGAGGAAGAAGACCAGCCCAAAATAAAAAACACTTAACCCCGCAACAGAATAGGTTCAAATACCTGGAAGAGGGCCCAGATAGCCAAGTGGAAAGTTCTAGGGGAACACAAGGAGGGCAAGGCTTGAAAAGGCCCAAGGAGAAAACAATCCACATATTGGCCCACACCAATACAACGACCCCAAAGGCAAAACCAAGATTGGACTAGCCTAATACACAGCTGCTCAACCAGACTTACACCAAAAGAAGTCAGATCTGGAACCAATGGAGGAGGTTTTCACGAATCAAGCTAGGGAGATCTTGTCAAAACCTATAGGCAGTGACCAGGTTGTTCTTACTAGGCACAATAATGGCCACCATACCCACTCAAACCACTCTGACATAACCTGCTCCTTACCAGCTTCAACACACCACATTGACTCAACTATGATAGAGATTACTCATCTCCAAACCCATCTGGTACAATAAATCCTTAACACAGTTACAAGTTAGAACTCCAAAGACTATTGGAGGAATGACCTAATCCCTCTAGACCTTGGTGACTTTAGAGACGAAGCGACAAGAGAAGATGGCCCGAGAGCAGCAGACACCATAGGTACAAGAGCATGTAAAGCAGACCAGTGCAATAAGTCTATTGTTCAAACCAGAGAGCGAAGCAATTCACCTTGTCGCTTTCGTATGGTCAATAGAACAAATTCAACTGATAATCGAACCAAACTAAGAGAGCAACCCAGCGAGACCATTCCACTTGGTTCAGATGGCCTCCATGCGATTAGTGGATGATGATCATCGGAGGTTACGCAGTATCATTAAGGATTTGGAGTCTAACCCACCTAACTTCCCATTTATGGATCTGCTCAAACTACTCTTCTGGAATTGCCACGGTTTGGCAATAAAAATTTTAAGCGCAATCTTACAGAGATCCTTCGGACACACAAATCGAAAATCTTGATACTCATGGAAACTAAAGTCCCATACAGTAGAATGGGCAACTTCTTCAATCGAATGGGATTTACAGCATCTACTATAGTGGACCCTGTGGGTAGAGCTAGTGGGATATGGATCATATGGGACACCAGCCATGTCAATGTGAGAGCCTCTTCTGTAATTTCTCAAGTCATACATGCAACTGTCCATAAGGAGAACTATAAAGAATAGGTCCTCGCCGCTGTTTATGCTAGTCCAAATCCTGTTTTAAGAGAGACTTTATGGAACGACTTGGAAGACGTTGCGGCGAACATGGATAAACCGTGGCTGGTAGCAGGAGATTTCAACGATTATGGAAATCAAAGTGAAATAAGGAGTTTCTCCAACAGCCAAAGCACAACCAGAACTCAAAATTTCCTTGAAAGAGTCAATAATTGTAACCTGATCGACCTGGGAAGCTTAGGACCCAGAATGACTTGGACTAACAACAAACACGGGCTGGCAAGCACTATGGACAGATTGAACAGCGTGATGTGCAATGCAGACTGGAGAACATTGTATCCTAAAGCCAGTGTGAAAGTGATCCCTCGCACATATTCTAACCACTCTCCTCTCATTGTGTAGACTGAAGGTATGCACTCTCTCAATCCCTCAAATAGACCTTTTAGATTCGAGGCGGCTTGGATGTCTCATCCTGGCCTGTTCGATATCATTAGCTCCTCTTGGTCTGATATGAACAATAAACTTATGGATTCCACTACTGAATTTACAGTTAAAGTCAGAAAGTGGAATAGAGAAGTTTTTGGCAATATTTTTAAAAAGAAAAGACACTTACTGGCTAGAATTGAAGGCATCCAAAAAGCCTTAACTGATCAATTTTCTCATAGTCTGTTCACCTTAGAGAAAGCTCTCATTACTTAGTATAATAATGTGTTATTGCAAGAAGAGATGTTATGGTTTCAAAAATCTAGATCTAAGAACATTACCCTTGGTGACAGAAACACCAGATATTTCCATATTTCGACCATCACCAAGCGGAGAAAATTGAAGATTAATGCCCTTAAAGATAATGAAGGTAATTGGATTCTTGAGAAAGCCGGTATCATTAGAACCCTGATACAATCAAACAATTTCGTCCCATAAGTCTTTGTAATGTCACCTACAAAATCATAACAAAGCTTATAGTGGGTAGAATTAGACCTCTCCTGGATATGCTCATTAGTCCCAATCAGAGCAGTTTTATCCCTTGGAGACATACCACTGATAATACTATAATCACCCAAGAAATCCTCCACACTCTGAGATGCAAGAAGGGAAGAGGTGGGGGTATGATTTTCAAAATTGATCTTGAAAAGGCCTATGATAGATTGTCTTGGGATTTTATCAAAGACACTTTACAGGAATTTAAACTCAATGAAAAATGGGTTGATTTGATCATGAAATATGCCACTAATAAACATTCATTTATCCTCTAGCATGGGGAAATTGTTGAGGGTATCCACAATGAAAGGGGACTTAGACAGGGTGATCCTCTCTCCCCTTATCTCTTTGTTCTTTGTATGGAGCGACTATCCAACATGATCATATCTAAAGTGAAAGAGGGGTCTTGGAAAGGTTTAAAAGCTTCTAAACATTGTCCAACCTTGTCCCATCTATTTTTCGTTGTTGATCTCATCCTTTTTGCCAAGGCAGATCAACCTACCTGTGAGACCATCATTGGGGTCCTTAATGACTTTTGTGCTATTTCTGGTCAGAAAATTAACTACTTGAAATCTAAACTTTTTGTGTCCAACAACATCCCTTCTAATCAAGCTAGAGCCCTATGCTCCCAGAGTGGCATTCCCCTCACTCAAGACCTTGGCAAATACTTAGGATCTCCTCTCCTCCATAAAAAAGTCAGCAAAAATATGTTTAATGAGATCCTTGAAAAGATGAAAACTAGACTCTTAGGCTAGAAACGAGAAATTTATCCTTAGCTAGTAGAGCTATACTCATACAAACTGTTATCTTTGCAATTCCTAGCTATAATATGCAAGTCATGGAACTTCCTAGACAATTTTTTGATGAAATTGACAAAATCAATAAAAACTTTCTTTGGGGAGAAACTGATAATAACAGGAGAGTCCACCTAGTTAACTGGAACAGTGTGTGTAGACCTAAGGAGGTTAGAGGACTTGGCCTTAGAAGAGCTAGAGATCATAATGCTGCACTCCTCACTAAACTTGGTTGGACAATGTTAACTGATAATAGTAAACTTTGGTGTAAGGTCCTACAAGCCAAGTATCTGCAGAGCCATGCCCTTTATAACTGACCTATGAAGAGGAGAGCCTCCCACATTTGGAAAAGCATTTGCAAAAATAGAGACACTCTTAGAAAAGGGGTTAAATGGAAAGCGGGAAATGGGGAGACCATATCACTATGGCATGATTGGTGGTGTGGACAAAAACCTTTTGATCAAAAATATACTATTCCACAAGTAAATGATGAAGATAGGGTGAGTCTACTCCTTGATGAAGAAGGAAATTGGAACCCTGCAGTTATTGTGAATACTATGTCTCAGCAGGACCTCCAAGAAATTCTACAGATCCATAGACCCAGGTATGTAACCTTCACAGATGCCCCTACCTAGATTGGACTCTCTGGAGGAAATTTCTCAACAGCATCTGCTTACAAGACCATTGTAAATCATGAGATGGATGGGACTGACTGGAAATGGATATAGAACCTCAAAAACTGAAATGTTTTCTCTGGCTTATACTCAAGGATAGACTGCTAACCAATCAAATGAGGCTCAGAAGATGCAAAACATACGCTGACTTATGCCCTAGATGTGGGGAATCCAATGAGGATATGAACCACCTCCTTAGAGAGTGTCCCAATTCCAAAAATATCTGGACTGAAATAAAGAATGCCACATGGTGGGAGGAAGGTTGTAGATTGCCTCTAACTGAATGTGTGTCTTCCAATATGAACACAAAAACTTTATTTCTTGGGAAAAAATGGTATCTTTACTTCGTTGTTATCCTCTAGCAGATCTGGAAAGACAGAAATCAAATGGTTTTTGAAAACTTTATTCACCCCATTCAAGTTAGTCTCAGGAACATTAGAGACTATGTTCTTGAGATTGATGAGGTATTCCAATCTCCTCTCTACCCTAACCAATCTTTACCTATTCTAATTAACTGGTATTTCCCTCGTGCAGGTAAACTAAAATTAAACACTGATGGCTGCTCCAAAGGAGATCCTGGACAAGCAGGCTATGGAGGGCTCTTGAGGGATGCAGCAGGCACATGGATATGAGGATACTATAGAAAGTTGGGCCACTGCTCCAGTGTGCAGGCAGAGCTATGGTCATCTACAGGGGCCTCACAATTCTATTTCAGAAAAGCACCATGGATGTAGAAATTGAAACTGAAGCCATTCAAGCCATCAAGTTAATTCAAGATGGACCAAGCCTAACTCTCCTTACAAAGCCCTCATAGAAGATACAAAGTTCTTAATGAAAAGATGTAGTTGTACACTGAGTCACACAATGAGGGAAGGAAACAGAGTTGTTGATCTTTTGGCAAACATAGGAGTGACACAAGATAAACATGTGGTGATTCTGGAGGATCCCCCAGAAACTGCAACAACTTTGGTGATAGAAGATATGACTGGAGCTCATTTTGAGAGGGATTAGCCCTCTTATCTGTTGTTTGTTTGTTTTGAGACCCTTCTTGTCTTTCTATGTTTTCATTTGAATCAAAAAAAAAAAAAAAAAAAAAAAAAAAAAAACAACAACAACAACAACAATAACACTCAAGAAAGTCAAAATTGGCCCGTGCGTGCCTTGCACGCGTCGAATTTCCGTCCAAATGTCTAACCACCATTAACTATTGGACCATTTCGAGCGAAAAACCAAACTGCAGGGGCAAAATTGATACATTTAGAAGCGCAGGGACCAAAATGAAAGCACAGGTAAACTATAGGGACCATTTCTGTAATTTGCCCTTGTTTAAATTTGTGTACAAGGCTCCAATCACT